CTTTTTTGCCAATCGAATGTGAGCTACGCTAAATTCAGATTTTTTTTTTTAGATATAGGTCATGACACGAAGTTGTCTGTATATAAAACCTAGCCAATTTTCTTATGGGCAGATACAGATTGTTACATTATTTCATAAGATGCATCGAAGTCTGACGCTCAATCTTACCAAGCTCAAGCTTGAAATTAAATTAATCTTTCACTAGACAGTAGTTTAATATCGCCTGAAGAGGAATACGCTGTACTATGTTTTAAAATAACTGATAGTCTAGCACCGCTTTAGCCCTGACAAAATGACGAGCGGACATTTTGAATTTCTCGCTTTTATTCGAGTTAAACATTTAACACTAAAATAATATTTAAATTTCTAACAATTCTAATATTTCTGAAGCAAGGAGATGTGCATATTTATTGGATATTATTCAGTTATTATGATTGGATTTTTGTTGATTCGGCAAAATAAATAATTTGGCAAATTTTGAAATAAAACTCTTGCGCTGCCTATATATTGGGATATTAATATCTGGAGCATGATGGATGATGAAAAATAATTTAACAGGGATTAATATTTTGAAAAATGACTCCATTTCTTGAGATTAATTCAGTTTTCATTTTCTCACAGATTTTGTAGTGATTTACCGAGGAAAAACTTAGAAGTGACATAAAGCTGAAAGCATGGAGCCTCGAGCGGGGATCGAACTCACTACACAGCAGTAATTGATCGAACGCGACAAGATTGCTAACCACAAATAGGTATAGGATAGATAGCTATTAATAGGAACTAGATAATAGATAGATAGAGATATATGCACAAGAATGAGATAGATATGAACAAGAATTATATATATATATATATATATATATATAGATAGATAGATAGATAGATAGATAGAAAGGTAGATATGAATCGGAATTAGATAGATATGAACAGAAATAGATATATATTAATGGAAATGAGACAGATATGGATAGGTATTAGATAGATAAATAAGTATGAATAGGAATTATATTTGAATAGGAACGAGATAGGTAGATAAGCATAAGAATGACTGAGGTGAGGCCAAAGTTGGGACCACAGAAGTAAAACACGGAACACGGATTTAGATGTAAGAAAGATATATTAACAACAGGTTACAGAGATAGTGTAAGCGGAGCTTACTATATGTTAGTGTCCAATACTGGTAGTCGTACGCGGCTCTCTGTGTGTCTCTGTCTAGAGTGTTGTGTCGCATACTTAATATAGACCTGGAAGGGTCTATTGTGTAGGTAGTTCCGGTCTCACAATACCCCGCTTCCAAGAGTTTTCTTTTTGAAAAGGAGAGAAAAATAAAACTGTTAATACTTTTTCCTCTTGGGATTTACGTCGAGCGGTTGAGTAAATTTCCTTTTCCTTCCTGAGCGTCGCACTTCAGGAGAGACTTGGGGCATGTCGAGATCGAACTAGAGATCTTGATGCGTGAGCCACACCTTTTCGCGAACCATCTGGCAGTTTATGTAAACTGCAAGCACCAATGCCGTACGAGCTTGCATCACTTGCGACTATGATGTCGAGACTAGGGTCGAAATGGGTGAGGGAGAGGTCCGAAGTAAGAATTTTCTTGATCATCTCGTATGCGTCTTGGCATTCCGTGGTCCATGATCATGATTTATTAATGAACCCTTAGTAAAAGTTAGCTAGGCCGCGGAAGCTTTGTAACGCTTGAACGTTATCTGGGGCCGGCATGTTTCTGATCGCGTTGGCTCGTATTTGACTGGACTTCTTTTTTACGTAGACTGTAGGTGCTGCCCACTCGCTGCAATCTGTTTTTGACAAAATACCTGCTTGTTCGAGTCTATCTAACTCTTTGTTGATTTGCTCTAGAGCAGCGAAAGGGACATTCCGTTTCTTTTTGAATACCGGTTGTGCACCGTCCTTCACCTTGAACTTAGCTTTCATTTTAGTACATTTCCCAAGGCCACCAGAAAAAACCTGGGGAAATTGTTGTTTGAGTTCCTTTTTTAGATTTACCAAATTGGACGTTGTACTTTGTATCTTGCGACAAAATGTACTCATTGGGAAATCTCAAAGATTGAATTTTTCTATCCACTCTGTTCCAAATAAGTTATCTGAAGTTTTCAATACGTAAGCTTTGAGTTTTTTGGTAACTCCATTTAGTGTTACTGTAAGTATTACCTCACATAAAATGTTAATCTTTTCGCCAGTTACGGATTTTGCTGTTTTATCCGTTTTTAATAAGGTCGGCTTGTTCGATTTTCGCCAAGTACGCCAATTAATGGTTGAAAGATCGGAACCCGAGTCAAGCTGGAATTTAATGGAATTATTGAAAATATCCATGGTTACATATTTCCTTAAATTCCTATCGACAATATTGTCAGACTGAGCTCGCCTAATTTTATTTTGGGGTTTTCTCGTTCTGTTGGCGTAACAGCACGAAGTTAAAATATGCCCACTTTTTGCAATTTTGCAATATTTTTGTTCTTAACTGGACAGAATTTCATCCAGTGCCATTTACCACAATGGTAACATGGTCCGGGCGGTTTCTTTAACCTATCTGGGTTTTGGTTACTGCGGAATTTAGGACATGAGATTTGCCTTTTGTCTTTTTGAGGAGAATAGGAGGTAGACTTGCTTCTGATTTTATTAATCTGAGCCACAGCTGATTCCTCTATAGTGTTTGAGTCACACTTTACAGATATTACTCTTTGACAGTCCTCTGCCAGTTTTTGCAGAGTCAATCCTTGTTCGTTCTCAAGCTTGGTCAGTACCGGTCGTCTGACTTCGGCGTCTTCTGCTGATACTAAACCTTGTGCGAAAATCAAGCACTTGAAATCATCGGCAGTCAGTTCGGCTAGTTTAAAATCATTACAGAGCTTGTTTACCGATGCTGCAAACGTTAGAAAATCTTGCTGGTTATCTTTGACTGTGTTCAGGCATTTCCAACGTTTGTGGAACAAGGTTGTGTTCCCAAATAGTTCCGAAAGGAGCTTAATAGTCTCTGAAAAATCCAAGTCAGTGGTTTTCTTTGGTAGTATGAAGTCTACGAACCTACTATGTTCTGTAGTTCCCAGTTTTCTCAATAGTAGACGTACCTTTTTTTTACTGGGCCATTGTTCACAGTCTACGTTGAAAATATCTTCGTAGCGCCTGTAAAAAGCCTCGAACGTTTTGTCGTTCTCTGGTACGTATTCAAAGGTTTCCATTGAATTGTAGATTGTACTCTGGGAGAAAATTGTATCTTTTTCAGAGTTTGAGCCTTTTAATGCATTTACGAGTAATTCTTTAAGTTGTTTCTGTTGTAGTTCAGCATTCTGGAGCGTAATTTGTTGGAATTCCATTTGTTGTTTATGTAATTCCAAAAATAGTTGTTGTTGTCTTTCTTCTGATTTTTGTTGCTGATCCAAATTTGCTTTTAGCATTTGGGCAATTACTTTTTGAAAATATTCCATATTTAGACAAATAAAACGACAGCGATTTTTTTTGGCTTTGAAACCCGTGTACCAAGAGGAGGTACACAAAAAAATCTTGATAGGTTTTTTCTTATTTTTTTCTTTTACACAAAAAATATGGACAGACAATTAGTTAAACTAAACTAATTATGTGTTTAGCTCTTTTGAGATTCTGTGGTTCCGTTAATTTTAACGTAATTGTATAATTTTTCACCACACTTATGTATTTTTTTTTATAGAGGTACAAAAAGAGAAAACTCACCTCAGTGAATTTGAGGGGAGAATAATTTTATGCACGAGTTCAACTCAGTTACATAAAAAAAAATTTTAGATAGTTTTTTTTCGAAAACTTGAGTACAATGGTAGTACTTCCGCTCTTGTGTTGTCAGTTTTTTTTATGATAAACTGTTTTTTTTTCTCTGTGTGTGAGTGTGTAAAAAATCGTTCTCATAATGTTATTTGGACAGACTTTAATATTCCGTAGATGCCGAATCGCTAGTTCGTCAGTGCTGCTTGGTATCGGAATATATTTTTTTATATGTAGACGCTGGGTGTTGCGTTTAAATCGCTAATGTAGTAATACCAGCTTAATTTCTCGTTCAACACTGCTGTGGGAACGCGTGGAGTTTCTGTGTATTTTTCGAGTACTCTGTCGCTATTGATATGGGGAGAACGAAATTCGCAATCTTTCTGTCGCCACTGATGTGGGATTGGCAAAATATTGCGGTTTTCGACGTGAATGCGTTTCTCGAATTCTTCGTCGACACAGATGTGGGACTGGTAAGGTATTGAGGTTTCGGCGTGAGTGCGTTTCTAGAATCCTGCGTCGCCACTGATGTGGGGCCAAAGTCGGGACCACAGATGGAAAACACGGAACATGGATTAGATGTAAGAAAGATATATTAACAACAGGTTACAAAGAAAGTGTAAGCGGAGCTTACTATATGTTAGTGTCCAATACTGGTAGTCGTACGCGGCTCTCTGTGTGTCTCTGTCTAAAGTGTTGTGTCGCATACTTAATATAGACTTGGAAGAGTCTATTGTGTAGGTAGTTCCGGTCTCACGATAATGAGATAGATAGATAGATAGATAGATAGATAGATAGATAAAGTAGGTAGGAAGGTAGATAGATATAGATATGAATTGGAATAAGATAGATATAAAAAAGTGATATATATATATATATATATGGATGGATAGATAGAAAGATATGAATGGCAATGAGATAGATAGATAGATAGATAGATGTGAATAGGAATGTTATAAATAGATAGATATAAACAGGAATTAGATAAATGCATAGACAGATATATATGAATATGAATTAAATAGATATGAATAAGAATTGGATAGTAATGAACAGGAATTATATAGATAGATATGTATCGCTATTAGATAGATATGTGCAGGAATTAGAAATACAGATATGTATAAGAATTAGATTGATAGATATGAATACGAATGAGGTAGATAGATAGGTATAAATTAACTGAGATATCTAGATAGATTTGAATAAGAATTAGAGAGATAGATAGATAAATAGATAGATATGAATTAATTGTGATATCTAGATAGATAGATTTGAATAAAAATGAGATAGATAGATAGACAGACAGTCATACAGACAGACAGACAGATAGATAGATAGATAGATAGATATGAATTAATTGTGATATCTAGATAGATAGATTTGAATAAGAATGAGATAGATAGACAGATAGATAGATAGATATGAATTAATTGTAATATCTAGATAGATAGATTTGAAGAATGAGAAAGAGAGAGAGAGATATGAATAAACTGAAATATCTAGATAGATAGATTTGAATAAGAATGATATATATATATATATATATATATTTAGATATTTTTTGTGGGTACAAATTTAATGATCGAAATAAAAAGTATAAAATTTTAATACTACTAGACATATTAAAAAGTATTAAATAATAAAAAAAAAACAACAACAAGGAGGGGAAGCAACCGGTTTCGCTCCCGCTCGTCAGGCTTCCACGGGAGATTGAAGATTAAAACAGAGAAATGTACAGTAAAAAAAAAAAAAAAAAATTAAGCAAACATATATATATATATATATACATACGGGGTACATATGTCGGAAGAAACTAGAGGCAGATGACAGCGAGTCCCAGCAAACACTCACGTTGTTTGCACAAAGAAGGCTTTAGGACCCGATGTAAAGTGCCTCCAGAACCTTAAGATGAAATATAGAGGTGACCGGGCCAACACGGTGAACCAGTCAACACTAAATTTGGCGGCACAATCTCTGCTATTTAAAAGGTGTTCGCATATGGCGGAACTGTAGGTGTTTGGGGACGAGTCCATTCGCAGGCAAGTGTGTGTTCCTAATTTTAGTAGGAACGTGTTGCTTTATTCTGGTGTCTAAGCGCTGAGTCGTTCTCCTGTAGTCAGCTCCGCAACTACAAACGTATTTGTAAATAATAGAATTAATATGGTGGGGAGGAGAACGTCCTTACAAGCAGGTCGAAACATAGGCCGAGTTTGAAAAATAATCCGAACTTCGGCGGAGAAAAAAGCAGCCACGAACCTTTGAAGAAATTTGTTTGGCCATTTTATCACTTTGTACCAATCCAGGGCAATCTCAGGTAAACAGGGCATTTTTGACAGTGTAGACATCGGCACTATTGAACTCTTCAACTTTACTCGGATAACTGAATTAACAGTATCAAGAGGATAACCCCTAAATTACATAAAAGGTGTCCTTAATAAAGTTGATTTCATCATTCAGGAAAGGCTCAGAGCAAATCTTTAATGCTCTGTGGAGGAGGGTTTTGATAATGTTGATCTTGCGCTTAGTGGGACAAAAAAGAGTCCCAACGAGTGTATAACCCTGCAAAAGTAGGTTTTCTGTAAACGGAAGTAAGAAAACCTGTTGACGTGCGATGTACTAATACATCTAAAAAAGCCAATTTATGATTGACTCTTTTCAACAGTGAACCTTAGTGCCGGATGGATGCCATTTAAAAACGAAAGAAACTGGTCAGCCTCAACTTCACCGTTAAATAAACAAAAGGTGTCATCCACATACCGATAGTACAGTTGAGGACAAAGTGGATTCCTTCGTATTTTTTCCTCCTGAAGCCAACAAATATGTTAGCAAGTGCAGGACCCAAAGGAGAGCCCATAGCGACCCCGTCAATCTGTCGGTACATAGTTTGTTGAAACTGAATTCAACGGAGGACGTTGCAAATTTCATCAATTCCCGAAAAATTGACTCCGGGAAACTAGGTGATGTTAAAGAACTGCGATAAAGATAGTCGCAACAAATATCGATGGTTTCCATCAAAGGAACACACGTATATAAGGAAGAAACATCGAAAGAACACATGAACTTACCGGAAGAAGAAAATTTTCGCACACGGTCAACAAAGGAAAAGGAATCCTTGATACAAAAACCGTCCAGACACCGCAACACAGGATCCAAAAGTGTGGAAAGCCATTGGGCTATCTTTTGTTGGGCTGACCCGATCATGGACAAGATCGGTCGCAACGGTACACCCTCCTTATGGATTTTAGGAAGACCATAAATCGGGGACGAATCGAACCGGAAGGACGGATTTCTTTATTTTCCTTTGAGAGTAACCCTGATTTTACCCACTTTAAAAAGTGATTTTGGAATTTCGCTTCACACGAGGAGGTTCCATCACAGGTCTCAACAGAACCAAGTTTAGTAAACTTTGAAGTGTCTTCTAAAATAGAAGACATTTTGATATATAGTCTACTCGATCCAAAATAACTACACCGGCACCTTTATCAGGTCTGGAAATAATCAAGTCGTAATTATTCCTCAGAGCGTTGATAACACGCTGATGTTCTGCTTTCCATTTGGATTCGGCGGTGGCGACCGAGGAGCAGGAGAAGGTGTGAGCAAAATTGTTCAACTGGGCTTTCAAATTAGTAACCGCGTCGACAGAGAGGAGAGAGTCTTGCCAACTGAGCATAGAAAACCTCAAACTCAGAAAAAATCTTCTCCTTGTCCGGCATAGAGGGAGGAATGGAGAAGTCCAACCCGTGAGAAAGAACGAACGATTCCAACTCAGTTAGTTCATGTGTGGACAGATTAATAATATTATTTGAATTAGGTTCAGAAGTGACTCCGTATTTCTTCTGGACCAAACTATTCAACTTGGCATCTTGCTTTGTAGATAATTTTCCACACTGCCGTTGATGGACCAGTCCCAAAAACCTGGAGAACCTAATCCAATCAAAAAATGAAACAGAATTCATATGCGTACATAATAATCTCCTATAATCTCGCTTAAAGCACAGGTTTAGAGAAGAAAGATGTTTAATCCGATCTTAATAAAGACCGAAATCGATATTCCAACTAGGTGTAACTTAGCCCTCCTCACTCTGAACTGAATGAAAGAGGGGCAAACCTGAAAGCGGATACATTGCTGAAGAAATTTAATTTCATATTCAACAGTTCTCAATTTCGCCTTAATCTGTAATATTTTTTTATTTAATTTACTAATTAAATTCTGGTTGTACCTGTTTTTAAGATATTTGAAGATATTTTTGTGGGTACAAAATTTAATGATCGAAATAAAAGTATAAAATTTAATACTACATATTTCATCTTAAGGTTCTGGAGGCACTTTACATCGGGTCCCGTAAGTTTTCTTTGTGCAAACAACGTGAGTGTTTGCTGGGACTCGCTGTCATCTGCCTTCTAGTTTCTTCCGACATATATATTACATGTATATATATATATATATATATGTTTTTTTAATATTTTTTTTTTTTTTTACTGTACATTTCTCTGTTTTAATCTTCAATCTCCCGTGGAAGCCTGACGAGCGGGAGCGAAACCGGTTGCTTCCCCCCTTGTTGTTGAGTTTTTTTTTATTATTTAATACTTTTTAATATGTCTAGTAGTATTAAATTTTATACTTTTATTTCGATCATATATATATATATATATATATATATATATATATATATATATATATATAAAACAGATTTGAATAAGAATGAGATAGATAGATCGACAGACAGATAGATAGGTGATAGATAGATATGAATTAATTGTGATATTTAGATAGATAGATTTGAATAAGAATGAGATAGATAGATAGATAGATAGATAGATATGAATTAACTGAGATATCTATATAGATAGATTTGAATAGGAATGAGATAGATAGATAGATATATAGATAGATATGAATTAATTGTGATATCTAGATAGATAGATTTCAATAAGAATGAGATAGATAGATAGATATGAATTAATTGTGATATCTAGATAGATAGATTTGAATAAGAATGAGATAGATAGACAGATAGATATGTATTAATTGTAATATCTAGATAGATAGATTTGAAGAATGAGAGAGAGAGAGATATGAATAAACTGGAAATATCTAGATAGATAGATTTGAATAAGAATGATATATATATATATATATATATATATATATATATATATATATATATAAACAGATTTGAATAAGAATGAGATAGATAGATCGACAGGCAGATAGATACGTAGATAGATAGATATGAATTAATTGTGATATTTAGATAGATAGATTTGAATAAGAATGAGATAGATAGATAGATAGATAGATAGATAGATATGAATTAACTGAGATATCTATATAGATAGATTTGAATAGGAATGAGATAGATAGATAGATAGATACATAGCTAGATATGAATTAATTGTGATATCTAGATAGATAGATTTCAATAAGAATGAGATAGATAGATAGATAGATAGATAAATAGATAGATAGATAGATAGATAGATAGATAGATATGAATTAACTGAGATATCTATATAGATAGATTTGAATAGGAATGAGATAGATAAATTTTATTCATAATCTTATTCGGAACACACTTTCTCTTGCCAATTTCGAATTTACTAACCTTAACATTCAGCGCGCATCACTCATTTTCCCACGCGTAACGGCGGCCACCGCCAACAGGTGGAGCACCGTTTCGTCTCTTAACGCGGGAAGTCGGCCAAAAAGACAGCAACAAGTCAAATAGAGAATCAAGAAAGCACAGGAAATTTATCCACGAAACACAACACAAGGGCATGATATCCACTTTAGTGATGTGATTATTTATTTCATGTTTATTTATTTCCGAATGTGACATCAGTCCTCCTCAGGGATTACGGCTTGTACGTTTAATAAATTATCGACAGGAAATTACTAAGCTTCAGTCTTGATCTCTTTTCCGGTATTTCGGTTCTTGCATGTCACAAAAGATTCCGGATTAAGAGTAGTAGGGAGTGGTTTAATCGAATCCTACATTTCATAATGTGATCAACGATGAGGTCACACAACTTGTTGGTTGCTTGAAATTCAAATTGTTTTGTTGGTAAAATATTAAAATGTATATGTATATGTTTTGTTTTGATAGTTATGAGAACATAAAGCACTGTCTTTTTTGCGTCCTGGGTAAGACGATAAACTACATCCGACAGCAAAGTCTCTGACAAGGAGGTTTTGAGGAGCGTGGAACCACCTTTTAATTGCTAGTGTTCACAGGTTCACTCTAACACGGGGTGGTAGCACCTGTCAGGGTTTCAGCTATGGGCAAAATGTTAAACCCCACCAAAAGGAGTCAAAATACTATGGAAAATATAAAAATAGATTTTAATACCAGCAATACCTTTTGGAAAAAAATATTTCCAGCAATACATTTTTGGAAAATAAAATATATTTCCAGTAATAAAAATCTTGTCTGCATTAAATAACCCATTGAGGTGTTGACATGCCGTAAAACAAAACAAAGCAAAGAAACAAACTTTCTTATTTAACTGGATATTTTATCTATCTATCTATCACTGTCTGTCCCTTCCTTCCTTCCTTCCTTCCTTTTTTTCTTTTTCTTTCTTTCTTTCTTTCTTTCTTTCTTTCACTACCCGTTTCTATCTATCTATCTATCTATCTATCTATCTATCTATCTATCTATCTATCTATCACTGCCTGTTCCTTCCTTCCTTCCTTCCTTCCTTCCTTCCTTTCACTGCCCATATTTTGTACTCTTTCCTGTTGTACTATTATGAATCATGGTCAATATACCGGAGGCATATTAAATGGCTTCAGCAATTCCATAAAATATGCCTGAGACATACTTCCTTCCTTCCTTCCTTCCTTTCTTTCTTTCTTTCTTTCTTTCTTTCTTTTCTTTCTTTCTTTCTTTCTTTCACTGCCCGTTTCTATCTATCTATCTATCTATCTATCTATCTATCTATCTATCTATCTATCTATCTATCTATCACTGCCTGTTCACTGCCTGTTCCTTCCTTCCTTCCTTCCTTCCTTCCTTCCTTCCTTCCTTCCTTTCCTTCTTTCTTTTTCTTTCTTTCTTTCTTTCTTTCTTTCTTTCTTTCTTTCTTTCTTTCACTGCCCGTTTTTATCTATCTATCTATCTATCTATCTATCTATCTATCTATCTATCTATCACTGCCTGTTCCTTCCTTCCTTCCTTCCTTCCTTCCTTCCTTCCTTCTTCTTTCTTTCGCTGCCCGTTTCTATCTATCTATCTATCTATCTATCTATCTATCTATCTATCTATCTATCTACTCATCTACTGCTCAATTAGCTTGATTATATGTCTCTATTAATATACCGATGCACAAATCTATTTCAGTGCGTATAAAGCTAACATTTACGTATACCTGCATGTATGTATTTTGTACTCTTTCCTGTTGTACTATTATGAATCATGGTCAACATACCGGAGGCATATTAAATGGCTTCAGCAATTCCATAAAATATGCCTGAGACATATCCTTAACATCAAATGTCAGTCTTTGACTCTAGACACTGTTGCCTACCAAAGATCTGAATGCAAGAGCATTGAAACAATACTAATCCTCAACCAGCTGCGATGGGCCGGGCACATTGTGAGAATGGGCGGGACAAAAGGGATTCCCAAACAGATTTTCAACGGGTAACTGAAGACTATAAGAATGTATCCTTCCAGAAACCTAGAAAGCGGTTTAAACATAATCTGAAGGATAGTATGAAAGCATTGCTCGTAGATGTACAGCACTAGGAAGAAATTTAAATCGTAGAGAATGAAGGTAAGATGGATGGATACAACACCTTTGAGGATGAATGTCTTAAACATGATCAGATCAAGCGTGATGCGTGATCTCTGAAGAAAGGCTCAAGCCAGGATCGAAACACGACCGATTTGGTGTCAGTCGGCGTTTTTACCTCTAAGACATCAACACTCGGCAGAAAGAAACTGCTAATTCTAGCGTATTGTTTTTTTTTACGAATGTAAACAAACGCCAGACAGTCAGAGAGTTCGTATTCATTTTACCAAAGAACTGTATTTTAGCGTAGGCAATTTCTGTTTGTAGAATTAAGCTGTCTCTCAAGAGTGTTACTTTCAAACAGATATTTTTAAATATAACACACAACGAATGTCTATTATGTTTGATCATCAGCCGTTCTAAACTTCGTATGATTCCTTTAATTGCGGGAGAAAATACAGACAAAAATTGTCAAACATTTGCATTTTTTATTATGCTGTTTCTTGTTCTAAGCTTTCGACTCACATGAGCCATCTTCAGAGTGATTATACGGACATTTAAACAAAGATATTCATCATCAAAGATGATATTCTGTTATGTTGACATAGAAGATTGCTATGCGACGATGGCGGTCGCGGAATAGCAGACGGAGGTCGTAAATTCCTGATGCGGTTCTATGATGTCATACTACGTGAGATTCCGAAATATTAACAAGAGGATCATATGCCTAAATGCAATGTAATGTGTTGTGACTAGTTTGAAGTGTCATTTTGTTGAGTGTGGGTTGCTTTGTTTTAATGCAGTTTTGTCCTTATTTTCTTTTGAAATTAAAGCAACCATACGAAGTTTAGAACGGCAATGATCAAACATAATAGACATTCGTTGGCTGTTATATTTAACAATATATGTTTAAACAATGATCTGTTGCCCTTTTAGACTATATATATATATATATATATATATATATATTTGGTTGATTGATGTGAGTTTGTGACCCTGGGTTTCAAGCTTTTGCGATCGTCAGACAAAGTGATTAATTTTAAAAAACGTTCGGTTTATGGTATTGGTGTTATTATGGGAGTGGGGGAGGGGAAGCGACGTCCTGATGTCACTCATGCCACACACACACACACACACTCACACACACACACACACACACATATATATATATATATGTATCAGCTTGCATATATATATATATATATATATATATATATATATATATATGGACTGAGGAGGCACATGGTGATACACAGGAGTGTTGTAGGGCATACAGATCCAATCAACCCAATCAAGGATACAGAGGTTATCTGTCATATATGACTGTTACCTATGAAATTGAATGCTAGTCTCAAGAGTCATCTTAGAGGAGATAAATAAACAACGAAACGGAAGCCATTACAGCTGAAATGAGAGGACGGCTCTGATCTGAATAAAATGTGGCCATCATAGATGATTCCTATTCACATCTATCTATCTATCTATCTATCTATCTATCTATCTATCTATCTATCTATCTCATGAGCAATGAAATCATAAAATTTACATCAAATATGGCATCCAGTGGGTTCGAACTATCGAATCACCTGAGCATATAAGATCGGCTCTGTTTGAGAGAACTATCGATTATCCCTCGCATCAAGAGATTACTATCGCCACGCACAATCTCTAATCAGCCTCATCGATTGCTAATGACTTGGACGAGGAGGATTTCGAAGAAGGCGGTATAATTAAAATAAGCAAATAATTAATCATATATACTTTGAAGTCTGACTAAGTGTAAGATAAGAGAGAAGGCACATATGCGCGACCACATGTGTTATATTACACATATTGCCATCGGCAACTAACCTCTCTCACTATCCCTGGATCTCTCTCTCTCTCTCTCTTACTCTCTGTTTTGCACATACACCGCAGATATTAAAGAAAAAAGATGAAAACAGATGAAGTCAGAGCACAAGATAAAACATTACTTGAGTCGACAGTGTTATTATTGCTTGTCTTCGTTACAGAGAAAAAAAACCCGTTCGTCATTCACTTTATAAAACTCATATTCAGACAACCGTTAAAGTTGCATGCTTGTTTGCTGTGTAAACAGATGAATGGCACGGGATGTTGCTACGACTTATGAAATCGTGAAATCGGCCATTGATTGATAATAGAGAAAAGCTTCGTACATGGAGCGTTGGGAGTTGTCATTACAAACCATCACGCCCGTTTCAGGCCAACTTTATTTGTAGATACTTCACAGATATTATTAATTTTCTTCTTCTTCTTCTTCTTCTTCTTCTTACCCTTCTCCTCCTCTACTTCTTCTTCTCCTCTTCGTCTTTTTCCCTCCTTCTCCTGTTCTTCTTCTTCCCTCCTCTTCTTCCGCTCCTCCCCTTTTCTTCTTCTTCCCCCCCCACCTCCTCTTCTTTTTACCCTTATCTTCTTCTCTCCTCTTTCTCTCTCTTTTCTTCTTCTTCCCTCCTCCTCCTTCTTCCCCTAATTTTCTCCTCCTCCTCCTCCTCTTCTTCTTCTTCTTCTTCTTCTCCTCTTCTTACCCTTCTCCACTTCTTCTTCCCCTCCTACTCTACGTCTTTTCCCCTCCTCCTCCTGTTCTTCTTCTTCCCTCCTTTCGTCACCCTTTTCTTTTTCTTTTTCTTCTTACACTCCTTCCCCTCTTCTTCCTCCCTTCCTCCCTCTCTTCTTCTTCTTCCCCTCCTCCACCTCTTCTCTTCTTACTCTTCTTCCCTCCTCCTCTTCTTCCCGTCCCCGTCCCCGTCCTCTTATTCTTCCCCTTCTTCTTCTTCTTCTTCTTCTTCTTCTTCTTCTTCTTCATTCGTTAATTTTTCTTCTCAATCTTTATTTTTCTTCTTTAAATTTTTAAAATTTTACGCCACTTCAGGATGTGTACGATCATGCGCCCCCCCTACAGAATGTTTTTTTTTTTTGTATTTATCTGTGAATTACCAGGACCTTCTGGTAAATATATGTAGTTGATTTCTGTACTACTTCCTTCTCCGTGGCTTTGAAATCAGAGTAAAAATTCTCTTAGACTGGATACCAATCAAGGCGAGAGAACCAAACCCCTGCTGCTATTTATTCCATAGCTGGATGGCGTGGGTGCGAGAAGCAATGATTTCACATCTTTGCCATGAATATTTTTGTGAAAAGCAACGCTTAAGAGGCAAGAGGAAATTGGATAAAATAAAAGGTAAAACAACTGTTTTATTCGCTCTGTCTGCTTGCCTTAGAATTCAAGATTGTGCTTTATTTTTTAATTCTACCAGAACGTGGAGCTTACAGGGAGTGAAAGTGAAAGAGAATGAGAAGACTAAAAATGGGGAAGATTGAAGAAAGAACGAAAAAGGAACAATGCCCAAGAAGACTGAAGATGGCGATTGACGTTGCATTTAAATTTTGGAATATTGTAGTTATCAGGGAAGCAAGAAATCGGAAGGGAGACCCACAGGTGGGAAGTGCGAGAAAAGTAACTGTTGGAGTAGAAGAGGCGGTTGCATCTAGCTAGTTCAACAGCAAAATGGCGAGATCTAGTTAGCAATCTAGTAGAACTCTTAAATTCATGTAGTCAAAGTACCAGGAAAAAACAGATCATCAGAACAGTTTTCGTGAAAATATTTGTAGAAAAGAAGCCACGTTAAATCGGTGAGAAAGTGACTGAAGTTGTGATGCCTGGTCTGGATCAATTACATTACAGGCTCTTCACTGAATTTTATCAAGAATCTTGAGATGTACAGCAGGAGCACTAGACCAGATATGTCAACAATATTCAATGTATGGACGTTATATTCATGAATATGAAGATAGATTTTGACGGGAAAAATTTCTTATACAACACACTGAACTAACTTTCCTTGCAGTAGACGTAGCATTTGATTCGATATAGTCGCTCCATTTCATGTTAGTGATGATGACATTGTGCTATATCGAAATTACTCGGAATAACATAATATGTATCAACACAGTAATTTTCTCCCTTCCTTTAACAATGACACCAAAAAGCTTGTCTGGGAATATGAAAGGATCCAATTGAAAATAAGTAGACAAAACTTGTCTAAATTATTCAATTAAAAAATGTCTCAATGAAAACATGCTGCCAAAATAAACACAATATGACCCCGAAAAGATAAATTTCGGTCGAGCACTTTAGAGAGAAAGTGAGAATTTGCAAACAGTGACTGCTACTGCTGATAATGCAAAGCTCTTCGATGAATCGAGCACTCTGAGTCACTGGCGTGTTTATTCCTCTTTGCCGATAGCTTAGGGGAAAAATCCGACTGATGCCAAATCAGTCGGGTTTCGATATTTATTCCTTTCTCTATTTCTTTCACTCTCAGCAACCTCTTGCATCCTAGTGGCCTTTAATTCTTGCATGGGCTGAAAAAATTAAAAATATCAACATGTGTGCTTGAATATATCATATTAAGCAGTAAGACTTGCAGATTACTTGGAGTTGGTTTTAATTTATTTATTTAACTTTTCACAAGCGGACTATCCTAGAATTTACACGTATATAAGTTGACTAGCAGTAGAGCCCGGCGTTGCCCGGGAATGTAACAGAAAGAGATAGATCACGTATCGACCATCATAAAGACTGAAAAATAAAATTGACAAAGATTATTGTTTAAGGTTGACGGACACGCATGTCTTAATTAGTTTTTTTTTTTTTTTTTTTTTACGAATTGGTCATACCCAAACTCAAACAAAAACATTGCTTTTCAATCGTTATGAGTCTACCGATTGAATAGAATTTTAGTATAAACAATTGTCTTGTAAATGGAATTTTTAAGGCATTCTGAATGTAAAAATAAAGAAAAAAGTGTGCAAGACAATAAGAAATACTACCTGCAAAAAAAAAGTAAAGTTTTGTTGAAATCGGTTGAAAAATGTAGGAAATCCGATCCCATATATAAACACACACACACACACACACACACACACACACACACACACACACACACACACACACACAACCTGGGTTTTATAATAAGTATAACTCGATATGAGTTGCCCCCCTTTCATTCAGCGATGCCTCTTAATCGTGTTTTCAAATTGATTTCGTACAAAAACAATTTTGTTTTTCCAATTTTTGGCGCTGTCAGCACCACCGCAAGGTAATTTTACGTAGTCCTGTGAAGTTTTGTTGAAATCGGTTGAAAAATGTAGGAAATCTGATCCAATATATAAACGTACAGACACACACACACACAACCTGGGTTTTATAATAAGTAAGATTAAGCTTGGTAGTGATATAAAGAACATTGCGTGTTCCCCACCAAAAAAGTCATCTTTTTGAGGTCAAACCTATTTCAGGTAAGATAAGAAACGATGTCTTCCCTAATTGAGCCACGACTGTGCCATCATTAAACACGAGAATTTCATTTCATTCTATTTACACTATAAAATAACATTCGACGTCTCATTTTTATGTACTAGAAATATTTCTTTTTATAAAGAGGGCGCTGTGTTTGTCGGCCTGGCCTGGATATATGGCCGCCTAGATTTCCCGGGCTTTGCAGGTGTGACTGTCTGCTTGACTACGCTTTACATCTCGCCCAGTTCACGTTTCTATGTGAAAGTGTGAGATTACGTCCAAAGGGGAAAAGAAAGAAAGAAAAAGAAATAAGGAAATCGAAAACAATATAAAAGGCCTCTCACAATGAAAAGCAAATAAAAGACGAGCCGACTACAAACAGAACATTACAATTGTAAATCATCAGTAGATAAAAAGAAATGTTTTCATTTCATTATTTGAAGTTCATGTCTCTTACCTTTTGATTTCGGTCGTATCGCGTGGGACTTCTTTCCGTATTTTGGGAGACACATGATCTTTTTATTCGGTCAGGTTACTGTAGATCAGTGCATAGAAAGGAACAATAAGAAATACAATGATAATTATTGATAAGTTAGAATGGCGAGGAGTCACTCTTGCATATACAAGCATATTAAAAGATTATGGACCTTTCGGAGCTGTTCACATCCTTAGGAAATTCTTTGAGTAAACTGACACTCAAATATGTAGGTACTAGCTTGTTTGTGAAAGTCTCCACGAAGACCGTGGACTATAAACAGAGAGAATAGTAATAATAGATTTCTCTGTTCCAGGAGACCACGGAGAATATTAGAAGAAAAATAAAGGAGATAAATAACAATTACAACCTTGATGTTCACCCTGTAAAGGCCCAGGAGCCACTCCAGCTGTCAGTTACTCTCTTTGTTCCTGGGACGTGTTATTCTTAATTTAATAAATGAAATATAAAGATTGGCCTCTCTTAGCTCCATTTGTTCAAGTTGCCATAAAGATATATCTAATTCTGACGTACATTTAGTCTTTGTTATTTCGTTGTTTCCCAGTGCCCAGGAACTACGCGAGGTAGATGGCTACAGAGGCACAGTTTATACGGATATGTAGAGAAGATAACGGTTAAACCTAGGATTAAGCAGGTTAACATTCTAGTGATCGGGGAAGTATTCTCTTAGGAGTTGGTTTCACAATGAGCAGTTGGTAGGAAAAAGTTGCAAACTTACATCTCACGAATGGAATACAAAGGGACTGAGGGTGGTTTGTGACAATGGGCGTGGCATGGTCTTAGGCGCGAGGTTAAAACTTGTGGAACTAAGGAATGTAGTTCGTCTGAGCACTTTTCATTCAAATAATGATAGAGCAGTAGGAAGTTTGGGGCGTTTCGCCTGTGAGAGAGAGGTTGAGCTGGGCCCAATCTGGCTCTTGTAAAGGAAGAGGATAGCAATTAGGAGTCAGGTACTTACTGGAGCGGTACAGGGAATCGACCATTTTCTAAGCATCTTTAGCAAGGAGTTTCACTTGTGGGAAAAACTTGAATATGCAGGTAACAGACATGTCGGTCGTTATCAAAGCTCTGGGAACAGTCCTGAAGAGTCTGGAAAAATGTCTGTCGAATCTGGAAATCAATGGAAAGGTTGGAATTATCCAACCGACAGCATTGCTGAAAGCGTTTTGAACACTAAGAAGTGTGCTGAATTTTCAAACGGCAGATTCGACCAAGAATGGTATATTGCTGCCATATCTGCTCTGATGTCCAATTCTCACTGTCCAGCTTCGACAGAGTTCAAAAGCGCTTCTACGGTGATGAATTCTTCTTCATCCTGCAACCCACAGCCTTTCACTACTACTATGGCAGATGTTCAGACGAGTTACATTTCTTAGTATCATCACCTCAGACCTTCACAGCTAGGACCCGCCCTATTCTGTTCACGGTGGCAAACCAAACCACATACCTTCGTCTTCCTTTGATACCCCGCCCCCCAAAAAACAGCGTAAAATCATTCCCATTTGTTATATATTCCTTTGTTAAGGGGCAAGTTCAATCAGACAAGATTTTCTACAGAACTGTTATTTTGTGGTAGAAACTCCCGATATGATGCTTACCTGAAAATTGGGACTATCTAAATGATATCATTGCCGAAAGTGTTTTGAACACTAAGAAGTGTGCTGAATTGTTTGAAAACTTTACTGTCATTTCATCCACTAATTACTATCAATACGAACACTCAATGAGTCATTAATGATAAGAATAATAATTAACATCCAAAAGTAAACTCTTAACCACCGAGCAGACGCCAAACCGGCATCAATCCTGATGATTGGTCATACCGTCAAAGAGACTCTTTAACTCGAACGTTTACTAGTACTAAAGCTCACTCCTGACCTCAAATACAAAATGTATATTCGGCGCCGTCGCAAAAGAATGGTCGGTTCCTTGTATCTCTCCAGAAAAATACCAAATTCCTGAAGTCAGTTAGATCCGACCAAGAATGGCGTATTGCTGCCATATCAAGTCTGATTCTACCCAATCCTCATTGTCCAGCCTCGACAGAGTTCAAAAGCGTTTATATGGCGATGAATTCTTCTCCAACCTTCAACCTTCAGTTTTCACTACTACGATAGCAGTATGTTCTTAGTACCACCAGTTCAGACCTTCACAGCTAGGACCCGCCCTACCCTGTTCACAGTGGCAAACAAACCCACATCAATTCGTCTTCCTTTGATTACCCCCCCCCCCAAAAAACACAGCGTAAAATCATTCCCATTTGTTATATATTTCTTTGTTAAGGGGCAAGTACAATCAGACAAGATTTTTTACAGAACTGTTATTTTGTGGAAGAAACTCCCGAGAGGATGCTTCCCTGACAACTACAATTTTGGTCTCTTTAAGTTCAGGGTCAACCGATATTTATTCTACTCGTCCTCTTAATATTCTCTTACTTACCTTCTCTTACAATCTCACTCTTCTACCTAGAGTGGCTCTTGGTCTTGCACTGGGTAGACTAACGGTAAAAATAATTAGATGTGCAGATGTTGCAATGGTTAGCGGCTCGGGGTGAGAAATCGGAGAGCCGAGTTCGAGCCCGTCACATTCAAATTATTCATTTATACGTTAATGCTCTTTGGAAAGGTGTGATTCCATCTCTTAGCCTCTTCCTATCTATGGGTTAAATAGTAGAGAAGACTGGGCTCCTTAGCCTTGATTGGCAACCAATCTAGAAGGAAAACTATGAATTCAAAATGACCTCTTCTCATCCATCGGTAGATATGTTCCCGAAGAATGAATGTCGCAATATTTATTACAACATTTCGGCCGTCGTACGCTCCGGCCTTCTTCAGGAACATATCTACCGGCGGATGAGAAGGGGTCATTGCGTTTGTAAGGTCAAAATTTGTGGTGCTAATAAAACCACCAAACATGATGAGCAATGAAGTGACAATGGCCTGGTTGACGAGCCTAATAATAACGGTAATTTTTGGCGCGCACACAAACACACACACAGAGACACACACATATATATATATAACTACACACATATATGTATGTGCGTATCTATCTATCTATTTGGTTGTATACATTTTAAGAATTTCAATCTATCTTAATCTGATCATATCTATTTCCTTCAGTCTGACTATATCTATCTATCTATCTATCTATCTATCTATCTATCTATCTATCTATCTATCCGATTGTATTCATTTTAAGAATATCAATCTATTTCAGTTTGATCATATCTATCTACCTCAGTGTGACCATTATCTATCTATCTATCTATCTATCTATCTATCTATCTATCTATCTATCTATCTCATTAGTTCATTATCTATCTATCTATCTATCTATCTATCTATCTATCTATCTATCTATCTATCTCCGAAAAGCGTTTCTATCTATCTATCTATCTATCTATCTATCTATCTATCTATCCGATTGTATTCATTTTAAGAATATCAATCTATTTCAGTTTGATCATATCTATCTACCTCAGTCTGACCATTATTCATCTATCTATCTATCTATCTATCTATCTATCTATCTATCTATCTCCAAAATGTAAGTGTGTATGTGTGTTGGTAGTAAATGATGAACGCACACTTAACGCCAGTCGGCTGCGTTGATACATATTTGTCAGTCATTTCAGGTCTTTCCATTCATTCCTTCCGAAGTTGCACTGACCCGACTTTCATTTCTTTTCTTTTGTTTTTTTCTTAACCTTCGCAACAGTCATCATTTTTTCGACTTGTTCAAGAAACGTCTCACTTCTCATTGGACAAGAGCTGGCGGGGTCGGTTTGGGCGGGTGGAGGAGATTGCGATGTTAACGATTGCGTCTTTGCCAAAAAAATACTGAATGTCTGTCTGATTATTGAAAAGGCAACTGTCAGGATAAACCGCTGTCCATAGCGATTGTTTGCTTGTGGTGTGGGTCTATAGGGTTGGCGAACGGTTGACGCTTTCTACTCTACCGGTGTACCCGCCCGGTTCAAATGTTAACCTGTCTTTAAAAAAAAAAAAAACTTTTCCAGAATTATCATCAATTACAGGATGTGCCATTCACAATTTTGGCCTTCAGTTTAAGCTCTACCCCACACAGGTACCTGACTTTCTTTTAAAAAAAAGAAATTATGTTATCTACTCACTCACTGCCTCTTGCTTTTATTTTACACACCCGATTACACTTTCTTACTCCGTGAACGTAACCAACGAGTGTACTTAACTGTCCGTCCGTATCCACCCTTGATTTCATTGTACTCTTCAGCTCACCAGGTTTGCTTATTTACATATTTATCTTAAAATTTTGTTTAACTCGGTAAATATAGCCCCAGGGTATCATCAGGTTGAATGGGCATGTAGTTCGGGTGGAAGGCTGGATTCTTGTATACGGGTGGATAAGGATGGGCGGGTAAAATAAGGGTTTTGATAACTCTTTCAAACGTTCTGCTTGATACTAGATATTTGAAAAGGTCAATATTGGGCATACAGACTAAGTGTCTGGCCTTCCATATCCAAGTTATAAGTGCATCCTAAGATAAACAGAGCAATTCTATATATATATATATATATATATATATATATATATATATATATATATATATATATATATACGTGTGTGTATAGAATTTCTCTGTAAGTAAATATATATATACATATACATAAGCAAATATATATATATATATATATATATATATATATATATAGTGATTTTCCAAGCGTAGCTTAGATGTGGCACAAGGCCGAAATTTTTCAAATATAAGATAAAAAAACCTACACACACACATTTACAAAGTAGAGCAAATATAATTTGTTCGAAAATAATAATATAAATATGTTATAAGATCACTACAAAAATAGCCATTTTGTTTCAACAGGAATGTTGAAACAAAATGGCTATTTTTGTAGTGATTTTATAACATATTTATGTTGGCACACGGCAGAGATGAAGGTGAATTTAAGCGTATTTATGAATTTAAGTGTATTTTAGAATCCCGGCTGACGCCAATCCAGTTGGGTTTCGATCCTAGCTAGAGGCAATCGGACGTCTAACCACCCTGATGAGCTGTAATACAGCGAAATAGTCTGTCTCTGGATTATATCTATCTGTCTATCTATCTATAAATGAACATTGAAGTCAACACTACATTTTTCAACCGATTTCAACAAAACTTCACTCTTTTTTGGCAGGTAGTTTCTTATTGTCTTGCACACTTTTTTCTTTATTTTTACATTCAGAATGCTTTAAAAATTCCATTTACAAGACAATTGTTTATAATAAAATTCTATTCAATCGGTAGACACATAACGATTGAAAACAATGTTTTTGTTTGAATTTAGGTTTGACCAATTCGTAAAAAAAAAACAAAAAACGAAAAACAACTAATTAAGACATGCGTGTCTGTCAACCTTAAACAATAATCTTTGTCAATTTTATTTTTCAGTCTTTATGATAGTCGATACTTGATCTATCTCTTACTGTTACATCCCCGCCGGGCTCTACTGCTAGTATACATACATACATACATATATATATATATATATATATATATATATATATATATATATATATATAATTATTTATTTAAAAATATGATTCTATCGCTACATAAGAGTTCTCATGTTTCAAAACAATAGCCGAAAACTTCAATATAATTATTTGAATTAAAGTACCAAGCTCTGTTCGATCTTCAAGCGAAATTTTTTTTTGGAATTATATATATATATATATATATATATATATATATATATATATAATACCGCAGTCGTGCTCTCAGTACATTCCTAGAAAAGGCCGGATTTAAGGAAACATCGCTAGTCTAGGGCTGTGAATCTCATCTCATATTTGGAGCTGGTGAGATATCACTAGTTGCCGGTGTATACGGACCATTGTCTCCATTGACGAACTGGAGCTACATATTCTTATATTTCCAACCTTGATAGAGTTCAGAGTTGTTTTCACGGCCCTTCTCTACTACATCGCTATTTCCATGGCAAATGTTCAGATGAGGTTTGCTTTTTAGTTTCACCATTTCAGATATTTACATCTAAACCTCTCTCAATTCTATCGCTATTTCCATGGCAAATGTTCTGATTATCTATATTCCTTAGTTCCACCAGTTCAGACCTTTACAGCTAAGCCTCTCACTACTTTTTCGCTATTTCCATGGCAAATGTTCAGATGAACTACATTCTTTACTTCTATTAGTACAAAACTTTACAGCTCAGCCGCTCACTACTCTATCGCTATTTCCATAGTAAATGCTCTAATGACCTCATCTTTGACGTTATATTTATTACAACGTTTCGGCCGTTGTACGCTCCGGCCTTCTTCAGGTGGTTGGAATGTCGATCTGAACCCTTTATTTCGTCTTTATCCATTGTGCCATGTGTTCTTCTGGATAAAGGCGTTAGTTAGATCCAGTGACAGGACCCAAAGAGTGTGAGTTCAATACCCGGTTAAGGCAGTGGAGAAATGGAGAGGGGAATTAACAGGAGATAACTGATAACTGACATCCATAAAACATGGCCCGTGGAACTAGAACAGTTTACCTCAGTGAGTGAAATAAAGGGTTCAGTTCGTCTATGTATCACAATATGGTGCGTTCGTTTTCTGACCATGGGACCCGGGTTCGAATCTCACCACGGTTGATTTGTCAGGAAGGAGACTTTCTGATGTTATCGGCCTGGGGGGAGACGATCCCAGCGTGTGGTACCTTTGGAAAATGCCTGAAAACCACACCATGTTTTGATCCCAGCATTGTGAGTGATGTTGGGTGGACGGAACACTTGGGGGCCGTCGATAGCTATGCTAGCACGAAGTCACAAGTCATCGTGACCGAGGGTTTAAATGTGCTGGCGTTGTTCAGATTGTTGATTATGCTAGATAACTCGCTCTCTGTCCCAGAAACTGTAACTAAGGTCAGCTCAGTATAGTTTCAGTATAAACATAAGTTGGCTCTGTGGGTGTTGAACAAATGCAAAATGTGTCTGAGCGAGAGTTTGCAATAGGGATTGGCTAGCCGCCCTAGTAGACGGCTATACTCGAATACGAGTGTCCAGTTATTTTTTTTTATCCCAATGTAGCACACTGTGCTCTCCATCTTTATGTATGCAGCTAATGTTGGTAAGGTGGTCATTACTGTGCAGAGGGACTTATACACTAAAGTCACTCCATGGCTAAGAGTTCCCTTGATCGAATCAATGGTCATATATCCTTGACCAAGGCGAGCCTTCAAGTTAGACGCTATCAGTTGTGGTTAGATCTAGCGAGGGATGAGTTACACCAGGTCGACTTTTCTTAAGACACGGCACGCATGAGGGAATACATCCCCCAAGATTTCAACCAATATATGTAAGGGAGGGAACTGCTCAGCTGTGCAGCGACCCTACGACCACAGTCAGTCACGGGGATGATGATGATAATGATGATGAATATTCTCGAGATCAATTCTCGTTTAATGAAAATCGAGGGGAATGCGTTTAATACATGACAGATTTCCATCAGCTTCCAATCTATGGATAAATTCAAGAAATTCTATTGGGTTGTGTTTCACTAATCTACCATTTTTCAAAGTCTAGGGTGGTGTAAACACTCCCAGACACGGCTCGTAACTTGAAATCAAACGAGGTATCTAAGATTACGGGTCCTTCAAAACGACAATTAATATCTCACCCGAAACTTTCCTTCATATAACAACGATATTCGTGTTTGTGAAAAGTTTGTGGAAACCAATATGGTTGACCCTGTTTTCAAGGAGGATAGTAATTTAATATCTGAACATATTGTCATGTTTCTCTCTATTTTATAGTCAAGGGCTGCCGAAGTGTCTCTCCCGTAAGCCGAACTTTATGAAAGAAATGTTCATCTCCCTGCTTGACAAACGATCAAGCACAAAACCCTCGGGGTGGTATCTGTATCAATGCCAAACAAAGGTCTATGGTAGGAGGACGGCTTTATTAATTCATATGTGATTTTACGGAGCCGGCTGCTATCATGTTGTGTAGACATAACCTTAAAAACAAATATGTATATTAAATAAAAAGAAGTTTTCTAATTTACTTTGAGGGTAAAAAAAAAAATCGAATCTTATTTTAAATTTATGAAGACTGAAAAATTTGGCCTTAAACTGATAAAGAAGGATATATATTTCGAGCTGTTTAACAGACTTTTGCATATAACGCACAAGAATTTAAGGTAAAATTCGTAAAGCAAATAAGCGAACACTTCAAGTGTTTTAGCTTTAAATGGTTCTGTTGTCCTGGTAAGAAAACGCTTCGAATGCTATCAAAAATTTATCCTTCACGTATAACGCACAGAAATGTTGAAATTTGATTGATAAGTGCGCCTTATATGACTTGAAATATAATAAATAAAAGCATATATATATATATATATATATATATATATATATATATATATATATATATATATATATATATATATATATATATATATGTATTAGTGGTAATATATACATATGCATATATATATATATATATATATATATATACACATAGGTGCATACACATACATGTATATTTTTTTAATAATATTTACGATTCC